AAAAAAAAAAAAAAAAAAAAAAGGTATGGTCCACGGACAGTGTCTACGTCCACTTTGCAGTTCCCCACTACCACGAGTCCCAAGTGCCCCTTCTTTTTTTTTCTTTTTTTTTTAACTCAGCTCATTTGATTAAGCACTGAAAGAGAGAGGCCAAGAATATTCAACCAACACCCCGGAAGAACTTGAAGAAGACAAAAACAATACTGCCAGTGGGGCCTTTACCCAGCTTAGGTGCAAGCCTTAGTGAATAATCCAGGGACGGAAATGGCCAAATCCAAACTGCTTCCCTGTTGCCCTAATACCACACAATCCTGGGAACCTTCTTTTTATTCTCAACCAATTGTTTGTTTTTTTTTCTCTCTCAATTATGTTATATTTTTCTTTCAAATCTTTTTTTTTTTTTTCAATCCCAAATTTTCAGCATCTTTCAATTATTTCAGTTCACCTTCACTACCTACCTACCACTACTGTTAAGCATACAGGGGACCCCTGCGAAGAGACTGCGATCATAGGGGATGTTCAACCAATTGTTTACTTCCCCCCTCCTAAAAAAAAAAAAAGTTGGCATGTCTTTAACAAGCTTTAGGCATGCATTAAAAAACAAAACGCCTCCGCTTAAATGCACCACACTCTTAGGAGGACCCTACCTGAGTATTAGTAAGGTCTTCAACCAACACGGGTCTGAGTGCACGTGTAAGTGGGTTGTTTGTGGTGTGTGCGGGAGTGTTAACTTTAGACACTACTGTTACGCAGTGGGGGTGGGGGAAGATGGAAAGGGAGGTACAATTACTAACAAATGCTCGGTCCTTGTATTAGTCGGGCCCCTTCCAGCAGCCCGGACCCTGCACCCTAAATGCAAGGGCAAAGGGTCAAACATGTCGTTACCTCTCTCCAATAAGAGAGGTAACCTCCCTTCACCGAAAAGAGGTAGAAAGCCATGCGTGCAGGGGTCCCATGTATAGCCTTAGGAGTAGCGGTAGGTAGGTAGTGAAAGAAAGATATGTTCCATGACATGGGAGAACGCCAGTTAAAAATAAGTTAGGTGAGAGAAAAATAGATGGTTGTCTCCCGATGAGAAAAAGACAACTTCTTAAAAAAAATAAAATTGGGCCATCGCCAGAATACGACTTATTCGGATAAATCTCGTCCCGGTCACGCTCATATTCATTCATAAAACTCCTCAAGCGTGAAAGTTGTCAGTTTTGTGTCCGCGACTGACACAAATCACAAAAAAATATATCCATAGATAACGAATATAGGGCACCGCCACACCATTCTCGAAATATGCAAATGAGAATGAACCTCCTCATAGAACAAGGTCAGATCCACTGCCCACATTTTTGTTTTTTTTACATTTCTCAAGTGGTGCATCGGCGCTCATAAACGCCTATCGGTTCACCCCTAAATTGTTGAAATATAGTTCTTTGATTCGAATCCGGAACCATATCAGCACAATAAAAGTAGTAATAGGCCTAGCTCAGTTGGTACACCCATGAAATATTTTAAATTCAGATGCAATCAAACTAATTCTAAATGAATTACCTAACTAGGGTTCGTCAACTCAATTATGATATATCAAGGCCATTGCCCTTCTTAAATGATTACATAGACCGTGATTATATCTTCATCCCTCCAACTTTGAGTCTCGCCACACCACTCTCGGAATGTGAAAAAAACAAATTAAAAATACGGTGGGTGCATCAGGCTATGTTATAGGGGGAAGTTCATTCTTATTTTGCAAATTTCAAGAAAGGTGTGGTGATGCCCTTTTTGTTTTTCCCCCATTTCATTTATCCCTCCAAGTAGGATGTCCGTAATGCTTTGTACTATGTTCAAGTCCCTATCGAAAAATTGACACTAAGGACATACTCACATGAGGACAAAAATCTCAAAATTTTTAGGCATTTCACTAAGCCGATTTGGGACTTTAGGTCCTCATGCGGTCACACGGATGAACTTCGAAGTTGCGGCCCTGACACTTCGTCCTCGGGGCGAGTGTGCACAGTCACATGGGTGAGGACAAAAAAAGTAGACGTTTTTTTTGTTTTTTACCTGACAAACAATGTGTGGGCCTTTGCTATAATGCACATGAGCCACACTGCACTACTCTCCAAATGCGCAAAATTAGACTGAATCTACCGCTAGAACATGGAAAGATACATGTCTTTTTTTAATTTTTTTTGCATGTGGAGAGTAGTGTTGCGAGGTCCGTCAGCATACCTCCGCTTCAGTGCACTCCTGTAGAGAAGTGAAAATCTAATTCAGCATCCAACCGCCCGTCGAGTTGTTTGGTAGGCTGTTTTTTTCATCAGCAACATTTTGCGATTTGGTAACATTGGAAAGAAAAAAACAATGACATTTAAGTTCACCTCTAGAGGTGGTTTCAAAAAGGATCCTCCCGCGGTCCAGCAGGCAACTGACAAAAGGGTTACCATTTAAGGCATTTGAGTTGCGGGCCTCTCCAATGTCACCTGAAGACTGCCTAAAATTTTGGTATTCAAGGTCATCAGGTCCCCTTATGAGTATGTCGTGAGACCAATGAGGTTAGCTCAGTTAGGTAGAAGTTTAATTTATTTGCGGCGTGCCCCGCTGATGGCTAACTTACCCTATCACGCCCCTTTGACAACGATTGAAGTTTCCGAAAGACCCCTAGCATTGTTTGTGCCTGAAATATGTTCAATATACCCCTGGTCGTGTTAGTAAAACCCAGGGAGGGTGACGCGTGTTGTTTGCTGAAGTCAGGGGCAACAATGTCTGTTACCCACCGCGCTCACTTCAGGGATCCTTAGTGACTCAACAGCATGAGGGAATAATGTTGACCTGTCGCATCCCATTTCTGAGTATTGGACATTAATATTATCATGGTTGTTATGATGGAAAAAAAATAAGTAAAACAAAGAGTTCTTTAGACCCACAAATCTTAGTTATGAGTTGAGATTTTTCTCACTCTCGTCCTTGTAAGATCTTAAGCTTGCAGGGTTAAATTTAAAATCGATTGAAAATAAAAAATGACTTTAATTATACATGAAAAAAACATATCATTTATGCAATTAATATTCATTCTGATTCAATGTTACTCTACACCTTTTGAAGAAGTTGATCAGCGATCTAACACAAGTGAAGTCAATGACATAGCTTCAAGTCGAAGAGAAATTCTGAATTTTTTCAAACTCACTTGTTTGAGTTTTCACTTTCACATTCCCACACAGTCACACGTCACCCGTTGGCTGTGAGGTTGCAAAAAACTTACATGAACAACTCCGTTATTTCTAGCACCCAGGGCTTACGGGGCTCTTCCCTGCGAGACTCAGATCTACAGCGGTTAAGGGTGTTTACCATACCAGCATGCCTCGTACAATATTGAGTGAAATTCAACGTTCCTGGACGTTTTTGTAAGTCATGTTTTCCCTACATATTTTTCTACTCCCTCTAACTTGTGTCGATGTTAGTTCCCAGTCCTTTCTCTAACTCCACAACAGCAAAGGAATTACCCCACTTTTGTGAATGAAAACACCACAATAAACTTTTATGTCTAAATCGAGATCATGACGTTTGCTCGCCCTTGCTCCTTGAGAAAAGGGAGAGAGTCGTCGACTACTCTTCATATATTGTGCAAAGTTAATAAGAGTGACAAACCGGTTGCTGGTTGATTGTTTGATATACGACTCGGAGATAACTCAGACCTTCCGACGATTAGTTAAAACCCTGCTAAAAACAATCCGTTGATGTTGTTATCTTCGAAAAGTGAATAAATCGAACACAAGATGTGACTAGGAGATCATAAACACCTTTTACCTTGGACGAAGCATGTTGCGGCCAACATACCCATAAGGAGTGACGATAGGGTATGAGATACGGTGACTGCAAATTACTACATGTAGCTTAACTAACTCTATCTTTGGTGGAGTGGAAGAAATGCCCTCTGAAATCCACACTGCCGCACAGGATTGTCTCACGATGATAACCTTACTCGAGTACTCCTTATCATTCCCTCCATCCCATTGGCAATTGTCGCTCTTCAAGTCAGGTACGCAGGGCAAACGAATTAAATACATATGTAATGATTCCTCTTACTTCCTCCTTATGAGTCTTTGCCTGATCGCACATGTTATTTGTTTCTCTCATCTCTCACCCCTCCTTGTCGTTCTCTCCGACCTTTCTTTTCCTGCAAACTATCGTCTCTCCTTTTTTACTCTCATTTTGATTTTTCGTCTTGTAGTTATGCACATTTTTTCTTTACTCACTCGTTCCT